ACCTGGTGATAAGAGCTTTGTTTGGATTGTGCTGCTCTCTGTTGATTAGTTTTGTAATGAAATACACATTTGTTTGTTTTAGCTCAAATTTATTCAATGAGCTATCTTAGCGCTATCTTCTGCAGGGAATAGAGCCCTACATTTTAGTGTTATAAGTCCTTAAAATTTTCGCTGACCTACGGGTGGGGGAAGGATTGAAATATATAACATATAATCACAGGTAAGCGCTGGCTAGACGAGATAAGAAAAAAAATATTCACAATATACAACTTATTTAACAATGGTAACAACTGAAACACTAAAATCAAACGATGAAAATAATAATATCATTAGGGAAAAACCGAAGTTTCACAGCAGCTTTTGCTAAGAATATAGTTCATGCAGAAGGTCCTGCCATCTACTGCTAAAATATGAATGTACAATATCGATAATAATTATAATAGCATTAGGACCATGAAGTATTTTAAATCATTCTTATCGTGCAAGAAATAAATACGAAATATCAAACCAATAAAAACAGGAAACTAATGTCTTTCATAAAACCCTAGTAAAATAAAACTTTGCTTTCTCGTGACCAGTCCTTTTCTGCGTATAGTCTAGACACAGAAATATAAAATAGTATCATTATTACTTTTGTTAAAGGTTTTGAATTTTCACATGTTATTATTTAGTGTAAGTATCTATGGCTTATTTTATTTAGGATAATACATCTCAAGCCTTGCCACTAGGGGGCACTGTTGTATAGTTTTATTAACATGATAGCTTACCGAAACTTTAGACCTTTTTTTGTAATAAAATGACTTCACGACTTACCAAAATGTAGTTTATGTTTGAGAGACAATGCACCATTATGTTTCATTCATCACATAAATATTCATAAATACCTACTCTGTATGTCTCTCCTCAAGTCATTAACTTGATTATTTGTCACAATATCCACCAGTAAACCTACTTGTTCAAATTACTGTAATATCGTATTGCTGAATTATACAGGGTGTCCCAGAATTCTGGACCCATAGGGAAAAATAGACATTATATTCTTAAAGTTAAACAAACACATCTAGTATTAATGTTAGTGTAATGGCTTCCTTCATATTAAGACATACAGGGTATTTTGGTAAATAGAATGTCTATAATGACATATTTTTTGTTGAGATATACAACTAGTTTTAGCAACGACATCACTATAATATAATCTCTCTTTTTGAACATATTTATTCTATGTGAATGACGTTTCTTGGGAAGTAATTTCAACCGTGTACTAAACCCTCTTCTTGGCAATGTTAGTGTTAAACCAGTTATGAGAATCAAAATTTATCAACCATTGAGTGAAGTTATTAGTCAGTTGAATTTTGGGGATTTCTGTAATTCGTCTTTTTTTTTTTTTGGCAACCTGGAGTGTCCACAGAGTTTCCTGGCTTGTTTTAATACAGCTAATAGATTATCGGTTTTTCCGTGAGTAGCGCAGTGAAATGTTTAACTGATTATAAGGTATACGTCCTACAACATAACGAATTAGCTATAAAGTAGAGAGTGCACTGATCATAGAAACTGTTTAACGCATTACTAGATAACATTCTGAGTCAGAAACCATTAGTAAAGCAATGGTGGAACGATTTCAAGAAGACATTTTGATCCTCCATAATGGTATGAAGATACAAAACAGATACCTCGTGCCCTCCACGAGGGGTCAGCCAAGTTGTGACATACAGATGAATCAAAACTCCTTCTACATACAATGTACTATCATTGGTAATTTTTTTGCGAGCTGTACGTTACAAGGAGTAAGATCTGGCCACGAGTAACTCCGTGATCTTCAAAGTTCCTTTCAATATCCATTTTCCCGAGATTCATAGATATAAGGAATAACAAATATAAAATTTGTTAATAAAGTTGGGATATTTTTTAAAGCTTACCTGATGTTCATTCTCCAAATGATTTACAATTTTCTGTTAAAACTCTTGTTGTTGTTTTTTTTTAAACAACTATCCAATATCTAAGCAGAAATTAAAAATACTATTATATACTAAAACTCGAGGATTTCGTCTAACTTCAATGTAATCATTGTATTATATCTTAGAAATATTATTAATGCCATATTTCTAATTATAATACAATCATTATCCAATAACTATATAATACGGCATAAAAAAGTAGAGAAAATTACGCATAATTTTTCCCATCATCCTCTACGACCGACACGTATATGACATCATCTATAGTGCAGAGCAGACGCTCGAAAATGGACGAAATATCATGTGAAAATTAAAAAATCGTATAAATTGGTTGATGTATAAACCCAGTTTACATTTTAAAACAGTGATTTTGAATCGAGCTAATATTTTGGATGTTGTTTAGTTAAAAGTTAAAAAAATAAAGCGCTATGGACGTTGATAAAGATTTAGATGCAAATTTATTGCAGCAGTTCAGTTGCCTTGGTACAACCGACCGCGATGTTTTAGTTTCTCAACTTCAAAAGTTATTAGGAAATCAACTCAACGCTGCAGGATGTGCTTTCTTCTTGGATATGAATAATTGGTAAGTTGAAGTGTTAGATCTAAACCTTAGGTATTTAATCTTCAAAGTTCAAATGATATTCCTGTCCGCCAGTTGTCAAACACTGACAATTGACATACGTGATACAATATTAATATTATTATTAATAATAAATAGTATTACTATTAGTAGCAATACTTTAAAATTCAAGTTTAAGTATAGGCGTAAAGACTAAAGTAAATTATAATCGAAAATGTTATTAAGTTTTATTAACTTAATAATTAAGTTTGGCAGGTTGGGAGAAAATGAAAGTATGTTAATAATTGTGGAATCTGATCGAACTGGATTTCTCTTATTAACCTACTGCCGTGTTTAAACTAAATTCAAGTTTAATCTGTCTCAAAACCGTTGGCGGTTGGGTCTTTACCTTTTAATATTTACATTGACGACATTACAAAAAGACTTGAATCAGTTGGTAAAATGAACAAGAAGATGATTCTTGAGAAAGAAGGATAGGAGATGGTGTTATTGAAGTGTAAAGACTATTCTTACTCATAGTGTATAATAAAAGTATTAGTTATCAGGCCTTAGATAGGTTGAGAGAACACAAGTTTAAGACTTGCTAGACTCCAGTTAAGACAGTATTATATTTATAACTCGGTGTTGGCTTGGCAAATGGTCTATTGTTTTTCATAATTTTTTTAAGGATACATTTAAAGAACACCTTAATGTAAGGAAACACCATCCAGCTAAAACAAAATAGTAGCTTGGCTTAAGAACAAGTCTAGACCTGTACTTCATAATCTAACAATTAGTTTAATACTGAAGTCCCCACTGCTAATGTTATCAAATTCACACATTTTATTTGTCCTTTGAACTGAATTATTTCTGTTTACTTGTATATGATTGGTCCAGTGACAATAAGACCCAAGTCCTATAAGCCTTTTTTCATAGCTCAATGTTCTTGAACCAAATATTACCCTTTTAGCTTTTCCTGACATCTTTTGTAATGTCAGTATCCTTCCTGTAATAAGATCAAAGATAAATACAGTATTGTAAAAGAGACTTCATTAACTTCTATAGAAGGAGACAAATACTTTTTTACTATTTCATTAAAATTATTTGCAATAGATTTCATAATCCTGTTAGATCTTATTACAAATAATTACTTAACCAAACGTTTCCAGCAGTACTAAGACATGCAAGTTCTGCATTACCTTCAGTTGCTTTCAGTACTTTTATTAGTTTTCTTATTTGATACTATTATTTCTTCTTTTCAAGGATAAGTAAACTTCATAAGTAGAGCTGGACATTTACTGTAGTTGACAGTCCCATTAATTGATTAAATGTGATTAATCAAGTAGTGAAGTGTTCATCCAATCATGATATGCACAAGCTACAAAGAAAGAGTCAGCAGTGTATATTTATTGTAAGTAGGCTTAGTATTCAGGTGCACGTATATACATAAATTTTAGTTTAGAAACTCACCATTTATTTATATATATATATATAGCTGTAGCTTTTAATTCGTGAAGTCTGAATATGTACTTAAATAAAATGTACTCGGAGCTTTGCCAGTGCCTTTCACTTTTCTAAGACCATATCATGTACATAATTGAATAATTAGAGTTGTTTAAACATTTGTTTAACAACAAGATAAAGCTTGGAATGGTCTATTCTTTCATTGGGATGTGTGTCTATGAGCCAGACTAGTTTCGGAGAATTCCACTCCTCATCGGTGACCCTGGACACTATCATCAATGAAATATCAGACCAAACCAACCTTTATACTAGTGAGGTATTGAAATAATTAAATTGTGGTGGATTGCTACAAGTTCTTCAAATATCTATAGAATGATAGGTTTCTTTTTGGTGAGTGTAAAACACGTAAATACACCAGTTTTGTTGGCAGTAATGGATTTCCCAGGAGCATCTCTCACTACCCACCTGACTGGTCATTCTCCTTTAAGCGTAGGGGAGGCCATAACCTCGAGGTCCCACCTAAACTACCATTGAAGGACATGAGCTGTCAATTTTCTAGCACAACTTGCAGCATTACAAGCATGTACTCCCTGTACAGAACAGGTGTGACCTCAATAGAGTGACAAGGAACAAAGGCAGCTAGAATAAAGTTAATTTAACGACTTTGTTTTTTACCACACTTTATTTAACAATATTGCACATATACAAGATAAATGATAAATTCTGAATAATACTGTATTAATACAAGAAGAAACAAATGCATGGTGTAATTATATAAAGGATGGATTTAAATTTTTACTCTTCTCGAGAGTGGGTGTGCTAGTACACCCATGAAGGACCAGATAGTCTCTTGTTGTTATTCTATTACCCCATAACTACTGTAACATTCATTAACATTCATTTTTTATTTTCTCGAGAGTGGGTGTGCTAGTACACCCATGAAGGACCAGATGGTCTCTTGTTGTTATTCTATTACCCCATAAGTACTGTAACATTCATTCATTCATTTTTTATTTTCTCGAGAGTGGATGTGCTATTACACCCATGAAGGACCAGATGGTCTCTTGTTGTTATTGTATTACCCCATAAGTACTGTAACGTTCATGCTTTACGTGTATGTTGCTCTTCAGGAACCTGCAGGCAGCTGTGTGTTCATACTTTGACTTTGAAGCACCTCTAGAAAAACTGCCTTCAATGTCTTTTGTGAAAGATGTAACCATTGGAGAGGGTGAAGCTGTACCTCCCAGCACTAGATTTGTGAAGACATGGAAAATTCAAAATCCTGGTAAGCCATTGTAGTAGTATATAATATCTATTAATCTCTTAAAGTAAGTATCTATTTAATATTCAGGTTATTATTTGTAATTATAGTTTTGTGTTTGCTGTAGGAATTTGCTGAAGATGGAATGTGTATATTCTGAAACGTACATTAAATATGTTGTTATTCGTCACTTCTGTGGTTGTATTGTTCATCATTAGACTACGTTTTCCACCTCATGAATCTGTTTCCAGTATACTGACCAGGCTGTATGGATATGAAACTCATAGGTCAGTGTTACAAGATGTCTAATGTTGACTTATTTAGGACTTAGTTTGTTTCTTGTTGCTTGACTTGTGGTGCTTCTTAGTCAGACAGTCTGATTAAAGACCTATCAAAAGATTTCCAACATCTTAAAGTGTGTCCATAAAAAAAAGTCTTGTATTGCTATTGATGGTGGAATTGTATTAGTTATATCTGACATCCTCTTAATTGTTATTGTTTTTAAGCTGTATTTACTTTAGGTTAAATCTCCATAATTTGTATTTTTTTTTTTTTACATAGCAACTGTGTAATGAATAATTTCAAATTTTTGACCACATAGTTTTAATTTTATGACGCATAAAAATCGGGGCCCTATGTAATGTGCTTGACGTGTCTATTCGATCTCAGGAGATGAACACTGGCCTCCAGGGTGCTGCCTCAGATTTACAAATGGTCATCGTCTTGGTTGTGAAGATCGAGCTTTAGTTAAACCACTGAAGCCTAGAGAAGTAGCTGATATCTCTATAGAGATGGTCAGTCCAGATCGGCCAGGTATCTATCAAGGTCAGTGGAGGATGAGCACAGCAACTGGACAATACTTTGGAGGTGAGGACTGTAAGCTGATTATAAAGATAAGGTCATTCTCAAGTATTCAAAATATTTTTGAAGTTTCAGTCACATGAAATGTTCTTGATAATCAGGTATAGCATTTAATAGACCTCAATTTTATCCAAGTTGGATTAAAGATAATCTCTGGTAAAACACTAATCCACCCTATAAATATAGCAAATTTATCAAAAGCTAAAATAGTTAAGATGAATCAATTTTAGATAATTATATTTACACTAAGAGCTAAATGTTTGTACGAAACTAGAAATAACTGTAGCGTTAAAACCTTTTAGTTTTTAAGATGACTCATTTTTAATGTATTTTACATATCAGTTTGGAATCTAGCAGTGGATTCATGAGTTTGAAAAAAATCTCATATATTGGAAGAACAAATACAACCTTATGAACATATGGGATTGTGAGTGAAAAGTATGACCTTATGAACATATGGGATTGTGAGTGAGAAGTATGACCTTATGAACATATGGGATTGTGAGTGAAAAGTATGACCTTATGAACATGTGGGATTGATTGTGAGTGAAAAGTATGACCTTATGAACATGTGGGATTTAATGTGAGTGAAAAGTATGACCTTATGAACATGTGGGATTTAATGTGAGTGAAAAGTATGACCTTATGAACATGTGGGATTTAATGTGAGTGAAAAGTATGACCTTATGAACATGTGGGATTGATTGTGAGTGAAAAGTATGACCTTATGAACATGTGGGATTGATTGTCAGTGAAAAGTATGACCTTATGAACATGTGAGATTTTCAATGCAAATTGGAATAAAACTAAGTAATTCCTGCTATTCTACAACATGTTACACAATATAAACATGGGACATGTGATCAGTTTTAACTACTGTTAAGTGTGAACGATTGATCTTATAGTACCATTTTAGCTGTTGGTACGGGTGACCAGTTTATCTGATTCTACTGTTTTAATTTGATTCAACACGTTTACTTTTTGCTAAATCTGACAATGAACTTTTACTAAATAAAATTCATCAAATAAATAGTGCTTCTCTGTTCTTTAACAATTAACAATCTTCTTTCTAATTAAATATATTTGATCCCTTAATGTCATCTGTATTTATCGTTCTTATTATGTTTTGTTGTTTTTCATGTTCTTGTAGCTCTATTATTTACGATAATTAAAGTTTTTCTTACTTACTTACTTCCAGAACATTAAAGATGGAACTTACGTTATTCTACAATGTTTATTAACCATGTTTTTTTGTTATTACCGTGATTATGATGTTGGATTAAACTTTGGTATCTTTACTAACTTTCAGTTTTCTTAACAGCTTGTTTTGCTTGAAATACGTTAAAATATAATGTTTGGTTCTTCTAGGAAGGTCAGTGATTGTACTCCAGATCACTTCTCTGAGTTCGTAGCACCCTCTGGCTCATCTAATGTACTAAAAACACCTTAAGAGTGATTTATTTTAATAAAATTATTCAATCGTGAGCCAACAACAAGTTAATGTTCAATGCTGGTTAGTGGAATACATTGGTAACTCGCTGAGATTGCCTTCTAGTTTTAATGTTTTCAAAGGTTCTTCAATAACCTAGAAAGTCTCCACATACCCTACAGGGGTACACATATTTCAGGTTGGGAACAACTGGTATATGCAAAAAAAAACAAAAAAATGTGGAGAGCAGCATGTTTCTGTCTTGTATTTTTCATTATATTACTGTAAACATTGTTCTTCTTTTTTTTTTTTTGGTTATGTTTTATAAGAAAAATACTAAAGTAATTAAATTCATAAAGAATTAACACTACTAATGTCATTTTTTGGGCGTGTATAATGAGACCTATACATTATCCTTCAATGATAGGTGTACTCAGTACATGAATAATATCAACCATGTGATTGTGTCTTATTTCAAGGATAAAAAGAAACTTGACTTTAACTAAACTGCCATTTGTAAGTATAACGCCGTGTTTGATTTGTCTTCCTTATAGAGGTAATGTGGGTGATAGTGACGGTAGCAGAAGGAGGACTCCTTAGTTTAACTCAACAAATGGATGCTTTCCACCAATTAGGTCAGCCTGCACTCGGTGCTCCCATCTCTACAAACCCTTTTGCAGCTACTGAAAGGATATATACATTCAACTGTACGTATTAGTGTGTTGTGATTACAAAGATCGATCTAGATGTGACTATTAGATAAAATTACTTGTTAAACATGTGGAGTTTTAAGAAAGTCGTAAAAGTAGATGTCTTCCTAGTCACCAGTAGAGTAGAGTTATTGTATGTTTCTATGCTGTTTGCTTGTAACTCTTTTACTTGTTGAGAAATCTTTTGAAATTATTATTTACAGTGACTCGGTTGCGACACTACATATCATCAGTAACTTCTAATCAAAGCAAGCTACGTAAGATAAATCTTGAACTAAAACTTAATCCAGTAATGTATATGGCTAATTTGTATACTAGTGTAAAAGCCACATTAATATATTGGTTTCAATACAGTATATAAAAAAAAAAAAATCTAATGATGATTAGAATGTTTTTATTCACCCATTGGGTACATTTGGTGCCATCTATATCTTCGGGCAAAAAAAATGTCCTGATGGGTATAGGTTTGACTGAATAGAGCATCTATGTTGTGGATATAAATTTGTTTGTCAACATCTGAAGTGTAGTTAAGAGATAACATTGGCATCATTTACGGTAGTTTTGAATAAATTATG